AGAGAGAAGAGAGGGAGAGTGGGAGGGGAGAGAACGGAGAGGGAGTGAGGAGAGGGAAGGGAGAAAGGGTGGAAGGTGGGTAGGAGGGGAGGAGGAAGAGAGGAGGAGAGAGTAGGAGGGAAGGGAGGAGAAGGTGGAGGAGGGTGGAGGAGAGAGAGGAAAGAAAGAGGCGAGAGAAGAAGAGAGAGACGTGGGGGGAGAGAAAGAAATAAAGGAGGGAAGAGAGAGAGAGAGAGGAGAGAGAGGGAGAGAGCAGAAGAGAGCAGAGAGAGAGAGAGAGAGAGAGAGAGAGAGAGAGAGAGAGAGAGAGCAGAGAGAGGAGAGAGGAGGGAGGGAGGGGGGGAAGGGGAGAAGGGAGACGGAAAGGAGAGGGTAGAGAGAGGGTGAGGAGAGAGAGAAGAGAGAAAGAGAGAGAGAGAGAGAGAAGAAGAGAGAGAGAGAGAGAGAGAGAGAGAGAGAGAAGAGAGAAAGAGAGAAGAGAGAAGAGAGAAGAGAGAGAGAGAGAGAGAGAGAGAGAGAGAGAGAGAGAGAGAGAGAAGAGAGAGAGAGAGAGAGAGAGAGAAGAGAGAGAGAGAGAGAGAGAGAGAGAGAGAGAGAGGAGAGAGAGAGAAGAGAGAGAGAGAGAGAGAGAGAAGAGAGAGAAAGAGAGACAAGAGAGTGTGTGTGTGTGAGTGAGAGAGAAGAGAGAGAGAGAGAGAGCGAAGAGAGAGAAAGAGAGAGAGAGAGAGAGAGAGAGAGAGAGAGAGAGAGAGAGAGAGAGAGAGAGAGAGAGAGAGAGAGAGAGAGAGAGAGAGAGAGAGAGAGAGAGAAGAGAGAGAGGAGAGAGATAATAAGCGTTGCAGCTGGAGATCTTTTTGTAGGTAAGACTTGAGGTAGATTTGGTAGCTTGGCTGATGGTTACGCGGGAACGGTGAGAGCAGGGCTAAATATTTTACCCGCGTGATGTTGAGCAATGTCGCGGGGATAAAAGTTTTCTTTCTCTCTCTCTCTCAAAGAAAAAGAAGAAAAACGACTAATAAAGACGAACAGTATATGCTAATGAAGTACAAAGTAACTCGAAAAGAAACAAGACTAAAAGTCTCATTAAAGAAGGGAAGCCGAGTGAAACGAACAAAAATTTAGAAAAAAAACCTATTCTAAGGGGCAATTAGATGTAACTTAGTAAAGAAAAAGAAAGGTAAAAAAAAATGCGGTTCTTTAGGGAAGGGGGTGGGGGGGGGGGCAAGCTAGACCTTAAAGGGGGTGAAAAGTCTTGGACGGGGGGCAGGGGGGGGGGGGGTACTAGTGATATCTGGCCTGGGAATATTTCAAAAGATTCCAGTTAGTTGATAAAATGGTCCTTCTTGACCTGGTCGATAAGGGGGAACATGATCAAACGTGTACTGAGGTTATATTCATTATTATTGTTATCCTGACATCTTTATTCACTTATTGACCATTGTTATTACTGGTTATTATTATTATTGTTATCACCATCTTTATTCGATTATTAACAGTGTTAACTGTTATATTCATTGTTTTGTTTATCACAGCTTTATTCATTATTACCATTGTTATTACTATCCTCTCCTTCCCCAAATTATTATAATGGTTAATATTCTAAATAGCAGCAATCACTATCACACATAAACACCTACACTGCCTACCCACCAGATGCACATATACACCCGACACATATCTTCCCACTCAGTCCCCACTCACATGATAGCACGCAGTCACCCATCCTCTCACCTACACCCTGCAGACACATACAACACCACTCAGTTCTCTCTTCTCTCTCTCTCTTCTTTATCTCCTCTCTCTCTCCCGGTCACTCCTCCCTCAGTCCCTCCTCTCTCTCTCTCTCTTCTCCTCATCTCCTTCTCTCAATCTCTCTGCTCTCTCTCTCTGCTCTCCTTCCCTTCTCTCTCTCGAGTAGACTGTCTAGTGCTCGTCTCGGATCTAGCCTGCTCTCTCTCTCTCTTCACTCTCAGTCTCTCCTCATCTTATTCTCTCTTCTCGCAGTCTCTCTCTATCTCCTCTCTCCGTCTCTCATCTTCATTCTGCTCTTCTACTCTCTCTCAGTTCTCTCTCATGTCCACCGGTCTGCTCTGATTCTCCGCTCTCTCGTTTCTCCTCTCGCTCCTTCTCTTCGTCTCCTGTTCTCTCCTGCCTCACGCTCACTTCTATTCACCAGATTTCTAACTGGTAACTCAAAGTCGATCCTCGACCATACATAAGGAACTGTAATGTTAACTTAGAATTGTCTACTTCAGCGACGCAGACAGGCGTCGTTTCCTCGAAATATACCGACGTAATAACATTAGATGGTGAATATACCAACCTCAACGTGTTATTGCACATTATGGCTTTCCGAATATCCGATGCGTTGGTAGGTCTCTCCTCCTCTCTCTGTCGAAAACGGTAATGTTATTTGAAGTGTGCAACTATTCTGTCCTCTCAGACTGTTTATCTGAGGTCTGTTTCGTTCTGAGATAATCTACTTCTCCCTCGACGTGTGTGGTTATTGTGTGTGTCTCTGGTCGTCGTCTTCGTGTCCGTGGTCTCTCTCTCGTGTCATCGTATGTGTCGCTCGTGTTGTGTGTGTGTGTGTTGCCGCTCTTGCTTCTTGGTGCCCGACTCGTGTTGTACTTCCGCTGTGTCTCCTCTGGCTTGCTCGTGTGTGTGTACTGTGTGTGAATTGTGTGTGTGTGTGTAGTGTGTGTGTTGTGTGTGTCTGTCTCTGTGTGCGCTCTTGTGCTAGTGGGCTTGTGGCTCGTTGCTGGTCGCGTTAGCGTTTTCGCCGTGTCTGCTGCTGCGGCTGTGTTACGTGTTGTGTGGCTTGCGGTGTGTTCGTGTCGCGTGTTCTGTCCGTGTGTGGTGTTGGGGGTCGGTATAGTGGTGCGTGTGCCGTGCTTGCTGTGGTCGCTTCGTTGGCTTGTTGTGGTGTGTGGTGTGTGCCTCTTGGCTGTGGGTGGTGTGCGTCGTGGGTGTGCTTGCTGTTGCGCGCGTGTCGTGGGTGTGGCTGTGTGTTGTGTTTTTGTTGTCATGCTTGTGTGAGAGAGAGAGAGAGAGAGGAGAGAGAGGAGAAGAGAGAGAGAGGAGAAGAGAGGAGAGAGAGAGAGAGAGAGAGAGAGGAGAGAGGAGAGAGCAGCGGAGGTATATGTCAAGTATATAAGATTAAGATTACTTTTTATTAATAAAGAGTAAGTTACTGATAAGAGATGTAATTATGTTGACCTGATGGTGATGGTGGAATACTACAAATTATAATAAACACTGAAGACGTAATGATAATCAGGTCTTATGAGAACAATAAAAGTAATCCGGCATTATTGAGTGAGTTATAGTAGACGCTTGGTGATTATATTTGACCAGAATTGTAAACTTACAACATCATTGATGATAATGACGTTATTTACAACAATAAGGGATGCATAATAATGCTAATGATAAGTAAGGTAATATTACAAGTAATAGATAATCAACGATGGACTAATAATTAATAGTAATGTAAATAATGATAATAATAATTGGAATGATATAATGATAATAATGGATAACAAAATAATAATGAATAATGATTACATGATTAATAGATAATGATACTAGATATGATATTGCATAATGAATATAGATGATAATGATAATAGTAAACTAATAATAATGAAAAGCGATGAATTTCAAATCATCAATATTATCATTATTGTTTTCTATGGAGATTATGATAATAGCACTAGTAATGATAGTAGTAATAAAGATGATTATAATAATAACAGTAATAGGAGTAGAATTGAAAAAAATAATGATAATAGTAATAATGATAATGATAATCTGCTGCAATATATAACAGAAACTAATAATTTTGATATGATGATGGTGATTATGATGAAAATGATAATAATCTTTGTTATCATTGTTACCATTATTGTCTTTGTTGTTATTATTATTATCATCATCATTATGATTGTTATTATTATTGTTATTATCAGTAATATTATTATTTTTGTCATTATTATTATCATTATTATTATCATTATCATTATCATTATCATTCTTATCATTCTTAACGCTAATATTGCTAATCAAACAACATTAATCGATAAAACAAGAACAGCGATGACGACTTCCATAAAATATATCAACTGCAACAATTAACATGATTATAAAAGGGGACAGAATTTCATAAGGGGAAAAAGATGACGTGGCAACTCGATCCGTCACTTGGGTCCGCTGGATTCAGAAAGTAAACAGTGTGTGAGCGAACGTCAGGGAGAGAGGTTGTGTTGTGCGTTTGTGCGGGGAAATCGTCACACCCTCCTCCTCAGGGTCATATATTTTTCCCAATTGGGGATTTCCAGTGTCTCAACCCTTAACCAGTGAGTGAGCGATCCTCTCAGAAATTCAAACCAGGCGGAAAATCGATATAGAAGTGATTTTTTTTCCATCATTTTCGTGTTTCTTTACACAAAAACATCGGATGTTCGTCCAGCAATTCGTACGTTTCAAAGCGTGTTTCAAGGCAATCTGAAATTTCCTGTGCTTCATAATTCCCCTCATTTCCCCCCCGTCAACATGTATTTAAAAAGGTGAAATAGATAAGTGTGGCGTAAATATATACGTGTTTTTCCGTAAAATTCGTGGCTGTTTCGATGTCCGAAAGCATGCATCTGCAGGGAACTTTTTACATCTTGAATAAACGTTGCAAAGTTACGCTTACGGACGAAGGCATCAGCTGGGAACCCGAGGGAACTCCTGATTGTAAGTATTATGTTTTGGTTGTTTGAGATTTATTTGTTGTTCATGACTGTTGTAATTATGATGTAGTTGGTGTTTTTGTTGTTAGTGTTGTTTTTTTTGCGAGTGTGGTTTCTTATCATTTTTTTTCCCACAATCGCTCCTGTCTGTCCTGTCTCTCTCTCTCTCTCTCTCTCTCTCTCTCTCTCTCTCTCCTCTCTCTCTCAACTCTCTTCTCTCTCTCTCTCTCTTCTCCTCCTCTCTCGTCTCTCTCTCTCTCTCTCGCTCTTCCTCTCCCCTCCCTCTCCCTCTCCTCCTTCCCCTCCCTCCCCTCTCCTTTCCCTCTCCTCTCCTCTCCCCTCCCTCCCTCCTCCCTCCCTTCCCTCCTCCCTGTCCCCTCCTCCCCCTCCCTCCCTCCCTCCCTCCCTCCCTCCTCCCTCCCCTCCCTCCCTCCTCCCTCCCTCCCTCCCTCCTGGAATACAACTTTTTTCATTAATTTTCTCTCACTCTCGTCTATCTCCCTATATTTTCCTGTTTTTTGTTTTATTTGCCGTGTGTGTGTTTCAGTATGTTTATGCTTGTATGTCTGTCTATACGGGCGTGTTTCGAATGTAGATGAAATAATATAATATATATATATATATATAATATATATATATATATATATATATTTTTTTTTTTTTTTTTTTTTTTTTTTTTTTTTTTTTTTTTTTTTTAATGAAGGTTTTGTGTGTCTGTGTATTTGTGTTTGTTTGTGTGTGTGTGGTGTGTGTGAATTTGTGTGTTTTACGCATATATGTGTACGTTTATGTGCACGCATGTGTGTGTACCCGTGTCCACAGGTACTGTACGTGTATGTGGTATATGTTTACAGTGTATGGCGCGGATAGACACAGTGCACCTTCACCCTAGAATGCTCCCTGCTTTTCACCACACCGGCTCGTCCCTATTCGCAGGCTGGGGTCCATTGGAGGGGTTTAGTGAAGCATAAAAGGGGCGAGAGAGGGAGGGAGAAGGGGGAGGGACGGCGGAGGGGTCTGTCAGTCACATAGAAGGGCGAAGGAGGGAGGGAGTGGGGAGGGGGGAGGGGAGGGAGGGAGGGAGGGAGGGAGAGGAAGGGGAGGAGCAGGGAGGGAGGGAGAGGAGGGAGGGAGGAGAGAGAGAGGGGGAGGGACGGCGAGGGGGCTGGTCAGTCATAGAACGGCGAAGGGAGGGAGGGAGTGGGGAGCGAGCGAGGAGGAAGGGAGGGAAGGAAGGAGGAGAGAAAGGGAGCGGAGGGAAAGGAGGACGGGAAGGATGGGGACGGGGAGAGCGCGCGGAAGAGGGGGAGGAGCAGTCGCGGAGGCGGCTCCGATGTCTAACTTCATAGAAGCGGCGAAGTGAGGGAGGATCACGGATGGGAGGGAGGGAGAGAGAGGGATGGAGGAGGTGTGAAGGAAGGAGGGCAGAGGTGGAGAGAGGGGGGAGGAAGAATAGATAGATAGGATTAGAGAGTATAGATAGAGGTAGAGCAATAGATTAGACGATACGATAGAGAGGAGAGAGAGTGAGAACGAAGAAGAGAACGAGAACGCAGAACGAGATTACGAGAACGACGAACGAGAACTGTGCGAGAGAGAGGATCGAGGATGGGAAAGGAGGCCGGACTGATGCACCTCACTGGAGGGCGGGAAAGGGCCGGGGACGGAGCAACCGGGAGACAAGCGCTAATGGAAGACGCTCATGCACACACACCGCAGAGGGGACAAGTGCGTGTGTGAGGATGTTAAACACGTACGTTTGCGAAGAGTAACGCCCCCCCGATGGTGCACACTAATATGTACATGCAAACGCGTATGCGCCACGCTCTTTCCCTGTCGCATCGCGACTCTCTCTCAATCATATGATAGCACAACGACCCGGTCACGTGCGATACTCATAAAACACACACAAACACCAACACCAGGCCGTGTCTCTCAAATCCTGCAATGCGACTATACTCAATCTATCCACGGCGCGATGGCTCACCAAACAGCATGAAGCATTACTTCAGGAGATTACAGTGCGCGTACACACAACACAGGCGCGTTACAAAACACACACACACACCCACGGACCGCCCCCACCCTCCTCCTCCCGCAACAGTAGCCTGCATGCAGAGGACACGTTTATGCATGCAAAACGGGGGCGCGTTGCCCACTGTCCATAAACAAGTAGATAATGCGGGTGTTTTTTTTTTAAGGGAATTGCTTTTAAGGGGAGGGGTTCTAATCAACGAAGTAGCCTCGTTGGTTAGGAGGGTTGGGGGGGGGGTTGGGAAGGGTAGGAGGGAGGGGGGGAGGGATGGGAAGGAGGGGGTAGGAAGGGATGGGGGGAGAAGGGAGGTAGGGAGGAGAGAAGAGAGAGGGACGGGTAGAGAAAGGGGGGGGATGAAGTCAAATGGAAGTGAGAGAGATGGAGAAAGAAGAAGTGGAGAGGTTAAAGGAAAGAGAGAGAGAGAGAGAGAGAAGAGGAGAGAGAGAGAGAGAAAAAAAAGAAGAGAGAGAAGAATGAAGATATCACAGACTTAAACAAAATATGCAGGCATACATTAACACTTGCAGCAAAGCAAAGAAACAACAAAACAAATCCAAGAAGCAGCAAAAAAAAAAACAAAACAAGAAAAACGAACAGGTGTCCAAACAAGCAAGAAAAAACAAACAAACAAATAAACAAAAACAAAACAAAACAAACAAGCAAAGACTCAAAATCAAAAACAAAACAAAACAAACAAAACAACAAACAAACAACAAAAAAACAAACAACAAACCAAGCCGCGATAACTCGTCTTGCGCGTCGCATTAACATCAAAACATCAACAGGATTAGGGTTTGTCACGCAAGCGCCACTGGCAAGTCTGAGGGGAGGGGGAGGGAGAGGGGAAGGGAGGAGGAGGGGGATAGGAGAGGGAGGGAGGGGGATCAGGAGAGGGAGGGAGGAGGATAGGAGAGGGAGGGGAGAGGGGAGGGGGAGCGAGGTGTGGAGAGGGGTGGGGAAAGGAGAGGGAGGGCCTGGTAGGAGAGGGGGAGAGAGGCGAGGGGAGGTAGGAGGAGAGGGGCTGCCCTCTGATGAAGGAGAGGGGAGGGTCGGAAGGAGAGGGAGGGAGGGGACGGTTTAGTGCAAGCCGGGGGTTTAAGGGAGGGGAGGGA